GACAGGGCTTTTTCCTTCTATACATCTGTCCTTTGGAATTCTCTGCCTCTTGAACTTAGGGAAGCCCAGTCTTATGCCATTTTTAAAGGTCAACTTAAGACATGCTTTTTTAAACTTGCATTCATTTGTTGATGTGTTTGTTTTTTTTGTTTTTGTGATGTGTTTGCTTTTAACAATTGTCCATTGTATGTACAGCGCTTTGAGAAGCTGCTTTTAAAGGCGGTTTATAAAATAAAGGTTATTATTATTATACTTTACTTCCTTCACATTTGCTCATTCCAGAGAGCATTTGATTTGATGAAAATTAGTGTAGTGCATCATGAGACGGCAATATTTTTGATCTGTTTTCCTGAAGGAGAAAGATAATAAATACACTAGCATATAGATGGCGTCAAATCGTTTTGTTGTGATTCGATGTGGTCCTTCGTAAATGCAGTGACTTCTAAGTAATGACGGGGTCACTTTACCTCAGGTGATCCCACAGAGATATGCCTTGAGATTGAAGAGCTGCTGGGTGTGCTATCAGATAGCAATTACTGCAGATCTGTGCCTCTCATTCAAAATTAATGGTAGCATTCCCTTTCTGGTCTCTAGGTCTCGTCTGTGACCACCCCAACTGTCCTTTTGCTGTATCAGTTCTCCGCCTCACCCCCTTCTGTCCCCAAACACCTGATGACTTTCGTCTGAAGCTATTTTCACCCACTGACTGTAACATTCAGATCCGCTTTTGAACATCTAATAGGAATATTGTTGGTAGTCAGGTCTTATCATTGTCCTCCTCCTGTTCTTTTTACCTTGCTGCTAGGATAAGCTTTGCCAAAAGTATGACCAATGTAAATGTCACCTCTTTTCAAGAATTTCTAACCAGATTTCAATTGTACTGTTTTTATATATATATATATATATATATATAAAAGATAACATCACAATCCTTGTTCCCCTGTTGTGTGTGGCATTGAGGTGTTCAGTGATCTCTTCGGCATGCTTTTCAGAAAGCAATGGATGTGAAGGTCAATCTGTGTGTTGTGTGGAGCGTGCTAGGCCACACAACCCTGCCCTTTCCATCAATTCCCTTTTGAGATGAAAATATGACTCTGCTCTCCTAACCTTTTAATTACATTAAAGCTCAGCAGGTCAGGCTGGAAGTTACATGTCTGTGGATATGTACTGTACATCTGCTCACAGTATCCCATCAGTGCCCAGAATCCCTTAACATCCAGGGCCTGATGACATGTCCACTCCTGATAGACATATACTGGCTTGACTTTTACTGTATGTATGTATGTATATACGTATATATATATTATGTTTTTGAAAGAAAGGCTGCGTTTGTTTGTTCAAAAATGCAGTAAAACGGTAAAATTGTGAAATATTATGAAAATTTAAAGAAACTGTTTTCTATTTTACTATATTTTAAATTGAAATGTACTGCATGTTTTATAGCAAAGCTGCATTTACTCCAGTCTTCAATGTCACATGATCAAACATATGATCATTTAATGCATCCTCACTGAATAGCAAGATTCATTTCTTTAAAATAACAAATCTTACTGACCCCAAACTTTTGAACAGAGATGTATATAATTCATATTAATTTATAAAATATTGATTTAAGCTAAATTATACATCTTAAAAAGGTTCAAAAATAAAGTATTTGTAGATATTCACTTTAACCCAGATCAATATTATTCTTTATTTTTTTTAATCTTGACATTAATGAGTTTTTTGACATTTAATCCTATAATCTTTTGAACAATATATACATATGTAGTATTATTTATTATTATTATTATTATTATTGTTGTTGTTGTTGTTCTTGCTCTTACTATTATTAATTATTGTTTTACATGGGGAATTTTTGGTAACAATTGTTTAATTAATGTGCTGTGCTTTAGATGTCAGTTTTGAAATTGTAGTTTTGCACATCTTCGAGTTATCTTGGTTGTGCTGACCAGCATGGAAATTCAGCAGGGTACTTTTTAAAGGATTTTTGAAAATAGCAAACTGTTCATAGCAGGTTAGCTGGCGCACATTTCTGGCTGCCCACATTGAATCGTCTCATGAATGCTCTGTGTAATGTCAGAAAGCAAGGATTGATTCCCCAAAGCAGAAGGGAAAACAGACCTGTGCTGGTTCTTTGAATTCTAAAATATCAGGGGTATAATTCTTTTTTGCTTAATGAGACTCATTCCTCTGAAGAAGTTAGAAGTGTCCCCAAAGTTTAAGAAAACCTCAAAAGTCTCTTCAAAGTCATAGGCGGATGGTGGGAGCCGCCAGATGTGACCTCTCTCTCTGGCTCCTCCAAGGTGGTTTTAGGACACTGGAGTGTCTATTCCCATCAGTGAGGCTTATCAGAGTGGCAGCAGTGGTGTCTAATCACCGCCCGGCAGACAGACAATAAATCCCTCCCTATTATGGCTCAGGTACACACGCTTCAATCCTCTCTGACTAAAGCAGACTGATAGGACAAAGACTTGATCCTTAGAAACGCTTGCACTTTGCCACTGACTTTGTTTGT